GAAAACGTAACGTATTGCACCCGAAAAAAACTTAAAAAGTCGCCATTTACCCCATAATATTATTAACCAGATTCCGGGGCTATGCTATATCATATATATCATGGCATGTGAATTAAATCAATTAATTAATTCCCGACGTGTCGGGAACATTTACCGGCTACTTGCTGTCAGGAATGTCATTCATGAATTAAGGTCCTAACATTGAGAAGCGAATATTACTTTATTTATCAAAATGCTTTCTGTTCAGTCTGAAGCTATTAACAGCAGCGGTTGATAACTATGCACTTGAATATGTAGCGCGATATATTACGATTATGAATTTATAAAGCTTGATATATTGATATGGATGCTGTTAAGGCTAAGAAGTGTTGGGGTCTCTCTCACGTCCATCCATTATACCTTGGGATTGACGACTTATCTTACGCTTCTATACTCTCTCTCTACTCACCCACCCAACGTTACACTAACGCCTAATGAATGATTAAGAAAATGTCCTATAAATAGATACACACGCCTTATATTCCCACTTTCCAAATCCGGCATTCTTCCTCGCAAGACCAACCGTTATCCCCATACATTCTTTCATACCTCTCCACACCAATGGCAGATACACAAACTCCCAACACGCTCTGCAGCGACTCGGACGGTGAAGGATACGAAGAGTCGACGTTGAGTTTCCCTATACTCGACGCTTCCAAACTTCCACACCGTGACTTCAGTCTGCCGCCTCGAATATTTAGAAAGCCGCTTGAATTTCCTAAACCCAATTTCGATAAATTGCCGAGTAAGGAATTCATGTTACCGAGAGAGTTGAGGGTACGGGCAGGCTTGGCCGAGAACGCAGAAGAGGAGGCATCGGTAGTGGATGATTTTGGAGAGCAGGCGCAACAACCGAGGAACGGCGAAATGGGGTTTAGTTTTATAGGGTTGTTTTTTGGTGTGGCGAAAATACTCGCGAAGTGGTTATGGTTTTGGTAAATATTGTGCGGCTGGGAGATGGTAAGTGTATATTTACAATGAGATGTGATATTTTGCGCTTATAATTGCTGACGGCTGAAAAGTAATGCGAACATGTCTTTATTTCCAAAAATTTATGTTACGACATTGAAACAAACTATTTCATTCCGACCATCTATGCAACCTAAGTATAAGCACGATTTATGGTACTCTTCTTTTGATATACACTTGAAGTAATTGACTAAACAGCTCCCGTGCGAGATCTTCTTCCTAATGCGTCTGACGCGTTGACAAGCGCCAGGGGGAACTGTAAACAAGCTTTTAACGGCATCATCCACGGGATGAGCCTTGGCGGGTTGAATGTAATATTTTGAATGTATTTCTTTAGTCATTCTATTAACGCGATTGAGATCGTAATGGAATATTGTATCTTGATTTGGGTGCTTTCTCAATTCGGAATATTGTATCTTGATTTGGGGGTGCTTTCTCAATTGGTCTTGTTGTTTCTTTAGGGTTTTAAAAACACTTGGCATAGAATTTAAGTACATCAAAGACATCGTGTGATCATGTTTGCTACGTGAAATGTGCACATAAATAAATATATGGTGATTGATTACTGAATGTGACAACTTGAGTACTTATTACGTTTTAAAGAAAGTTTCATTATATCGCTAACTAGTAAACATGTCCCATCCTTGGCCATTGAGATGCCGCAAATAAACGTACTCTATCGCTTTCAAAAGCGGAATAAGCGAAAGCGAAAAGTGTTCTAATCTAATGTGTACCAATGTCCTATATATGATGACCAAAATCCTATTCAAAACAAATTAACTACCAAAATTAATCTTGATCTCTATTTATCATCGATCTCAGTATAGTCTCTGCTAATGGATAAATTTGTTTCCGTGACATTTCAACGTTCTGCTGATTATAAAAAGCGTTATGCTTATATCTTCCATTGTTCACCAAACATAATTCAGAAGCCTCCAATTTTTCTACAAGTTGTTTCTTGTCGATCTTCTCACTAACAGGCCATATTACCAATTCACGTTGAAATCCATTTTCTGGATGATCGCAGATGGTTGCTACGAGCAACAAATCAAGTTTCTTATGTTCGGCATATTTGTTGAACGATTCAGTGACTTTCTCAAGAGTCCGTGCTTCAGTCCAAGAATTGAGATCCCAAGTCACGGCAGATATACCGAGCTGTAACGATGCGATTTCCCATTGCTTGTAATCTTTACGGAGAAGATCGAAATCCGATAGGTGGCTTACGTCAAACCGAGCCTTCTGGATGCCACTATAGTCCGACATAATCTCGAGTAGAAACTTGGCAGCGTTCTGGTCTTCAGCCTTGGTCTTGCCTTTACTCTCGTCAAGCGATATAGTGTCGACTAAAATTGGGGCCAACAAAAGCTTGGACAATTTCTCAAGAGTCTTTTTCTGGCTGTCGGTGGCCTTTGCCCAAAGATCTTTGAATTCGAGTGTGACTAACGAGCAGGCCGAGCCAACAATTTTTATCTTCCGGTTTTCACCAATTACTGAATCGTATAGGTTTTCATCCTTATGATGATCTATTATTCTATAAACTTTTCCTCCTTCACCTTCCCATTGACTCACCAATTTATTGTGATCCACAAGCACTATTCTACAATCATACTTGTCCAACACTTTTTTCACTTTGCCAAAATCGTCTACGAATATTAGGTTATTCTGATTTAAACCACATTCTTTCAACACGTGAACACATTCTTGCCGAAGTCTAAGTTCAGACTTTGGTATCTGGACTAGCGGTATACAAGTCTTATTCTCGAGTGTATTAGTTAGAACAGCATAAGATGTTGCGGAAATTATAGAATCGAGATCTGTTGCATAAAAGCCAGTGAGAATTACATCATGTTGACATTGCAAACCGAAAACAGTAGGTATTTTTAACTTTTACTCACCGGCAGACTCATTGCCCATTACAATCTCGAGTGACGGTCGAGGACCTTTTGAAGATTTAACGTTTTCTTTGTCGAGGGCGTTAAGCAATCCGAGGAAATTATATGGATCTTGCCGTTTAATATCGCCGACATTTTTAACACGCTTTGGAAGTTTTATAGCTGACTTGATCGATAAGTGCCTCTTAGTTTTGGCATCCATTATAGTTGTTGTATTATTCTTTTGTTGTTGCTGTTGATCTTCTGGAGCCTGTATTTCGACTCTTGCAGGGTTTTCTGTTATGGTGTTGAAAATTGTGACCAAACGTGGGAATATTTATATTTAGTGCCTCGGCGGTTACCAATTTAAAATTTGTGGTACAAATGAAGTGTGGCGATGAGGAATAATGGAATAAATAAAACCAATTCTTTTTTTACGTAACAAGTTTGTTTCATCGAAGAATGTATGCATTGACCAATTTAAAGTCAAAAAATGAAGGAGAGTCGGATATTTCGTACACCCTGGTTTCATCTGAACCATTGAGGAGTAAATCCGAAAAGTTGAATCCTTCAAGGTGGAATACGGTCGAGTTCTATGTGTATTATTTAGTACATGCAGTTACCATACCGTATATGTTCTGGGTGTCATACACGATCAGTAGAGGTAAAGTACTTGATTCACGTTTTACTGTAGTAATTGATGTTTGAGGAAGTTTTTACCGAAAAGGGTCACATTGATTATTTTATAGAATCACATCCAAACTACCCACAATACGAATATTATTTGGAAGACGGATGGTTATTTGGCCGTAAAGTTGTAAGTAATCGGTTAACATGATCAATTTGCTTTCTCTACATTTTATAGATATCGTTCCTATACTGACATATACCATCACGCTATGATGATAATAGGATAATAGTGATTTTCAATTTGCAAGTGTTCGCAATAACTACATTCCTCTATTTCTTGCTCTAGTCCTCCATGTCGCACTCTCCCGATTGTACAGATTCCTGTTCGTTCCATCACAGCCAGCCAAACTACCTAACCAACACTTACATCAAGTCTACTTTAATCTTTTATTCTCGCTTCTCTTCTTTTATGGTCTTTGTGGGAACGGTTTATTGAAGATCTTGATTATATTGACTATGAACTATATGATCGCCAAAGTGTTCAAAGGATCAATTCTCAATTGTGTGGTTACTTGGGTGTTTAACTTGGCGATTTTATTTCTAAACGATAGATATAAGGGGTATGAATTTGCAATGGTTGATGAGCGGCTGTCTTTCCTGGTAAGATTTTTTTTTTCAATGAGGAACAACAGTGGTTTTATGAAACTGAGTGACTCAGTCAATGGAATGGATGATTATAGGACGACAATCGTGGTCTACTGAGATGGCAAGTGACATTTAATATTTCCATGTTAAGAATGATATCCTACAACATGGATTATTACTGGAGCTTCGGAAAGCTTGCCGGTGATGGCGCTAAAGAGGTAATCTTGGAAGATATGGATGTAAATTATCTTTTTATTATTTTTCTTGATGAGTATCAATATCAATATCAATTCGGCTAATATAGTTGTTGTTTGTTATTATTATAGAGAAATGATCGAGATAAAGCGCCATTGACCGAAAAAGATAGAATTAATGCTCCATGTTATAAAGAGGACTATAACTACATTTACTATCTGAGTTATATACTTTACGCTCCATTGTATCTAGCCGGACCAATTATTACTTATAACAATTACATATCGCAGGTAAAAATCACATTCATGGTTATTTTATGATAATAAGCTTTATGGTTCTGATTCTCCCCTACTCCCATCGATAGTTACGCTATCCATGTCGACCCAGTTTTAAATCTGTCGCGATCTACGGTATTAGACTCGCAGGCTCAATGTTACTTATGGAGTTTATGCTTCATTACATGTACGTTGTGGCTATAGCAAAGAGACATGCTTGGCAAGGCGATTCTCCAGTCGAGTTGGGTATGATTGCCTACTTCAACTTGAAACTGATATGGATGAAGCTTCTTATAATATGGCGTTTCTTCCGGTTCTGGGCTATGGCCGATGGATTTCAAGTGGACGAGAACATGTTGAGATGTGCGAGTAATGTGTATTCTATACGTTCATTTTGGAGAATGTGGCATCGAAGTTATAACAGATGGACCATTAGGTATAATATTATGCATTAATTAAGCACATTTACACGTTGTTATCAACCAATTGGCTAACTAACTTTTTATGAAGGTACATTTATATCCCGCTTGGCGGCACCAAGTACGCAATGTACAACATATGGGTAGTATTCACATTTGTTGCACTGTGGCATGATATATCACTTAAACTATTGGCATGGGGATGGCTTATATCTTTGTTCATCTTGCCTGAGCTGATCGCTACGAACTTGTTCACAGAAAAGAAGGTAATTATTTTGGATCCGATAATGATTCTCATTACTCGTGGACTGTTAAACTATAATTTTGTACAAGATTGTTAATGTCGTTTTGTTTACGCATGCAGTTTGGAGATAAGCCGTATTATCGGCATGTATGCGCGTGTGGAGCAGTGTTGAATCTTTTGTTTATGGTGTTTGCCAATCTCGTCGGATTTGTTGTTGGACTAGACGGAGTCTGGGATATAGTGAAATTGATATTCATGACTGTAGAAGGTAATTGAACAGATCAATTAATTATTTTCAACGTTAATTTAGACTAACAATTTCTCTCAATTAATTATGCAGGAATACAATTCTTTGTATTGAGTTTTATGGCACTATTTACGGCCGTACAAATTATGTTTGAAATCAGAGAGGAAGAAAAGAGACGGAATATTGATAGGAATAGATCGTGAGTAATACGGTCGATACATTCACGATGATAGCTAATAATTTAGGCTTATATTATTTCGAATACTGTAATGATAATTTGTTAATCGGCATCTGTGAGAGACATCCGTTATTTATGAACTTTCCTTTTATACTACTACTCTCTTGAGTAATAAAAATTACATAATACAAACTGTTAGCAAGTCAATGAGCATAATATTGGTTCTCTCTCGCTTTTCTTCATCACAGTCTTTTTTGGTAGGAATATTTCATAGTACCTCTACAGTAATTGAGCCAATAAAAGCATAGACTCCTGGAAATACGGAAGGACTAAAGAATGAAGATAAGCTCCGTTGCCGGTGTCAGGGGCCCCGCCAAGGAACGACTGCTAATATATGATCGGGGGAAATTCTATTGGGGGTCAAGTTTGTAAAGCAAAATTGGGTTAGAATGAAATGCAGATCAGAGAACAAGGGTTTATTTACATAATATTAACAAATATCCAGTTCTTATAGCAATTCAGAAAACAGGAAACGTTCGCGTGATATGATTTAAATATGTCGATTATGTGTACGTGCTCAAAAGATGGTAATGATGCAACCCACCCCAACTCTCACGAAAGCCTATACGTGCTGGGACATCACAGAAAGGACTACAATGAAAGTGCTAATCGAATATTGTTAATCAATTAATACGATTTGACCATTTTGTTAATAGAATCAACTCCTGCCTTATTATCCAGCCGAAAGTTCCTTATATGCGTTAATAGATTCATATTTCCAGGCGTGTAGAGATTGTTTCTAAACGAACTTGTAAAAGAAAACGCGCGAAACGGGGGATTAAACAATTGAAATTCAACCCAATTATGAGAACAACACTACTCTCTAAATTATCATATGCAAAAACGACTTGATTATTAATTATATTTAATATACATTTCAGATTGACCCAAAGCAGGCATCTACAGGAAACCCTAAAATTTAAATGGCAGCAGATTTTAATATTGAGTATACATGTTCGCAACAAAAAAAGCTGGTGTCGATGCTCACATTTAATGGCCTTGGTGAAGGTATTCATTAGACCGGTGCAGGATGTTGTGATGGTCATTATATTGGAATGGGTATATGCTGCGTGCTAGTCCTTCAGATCAACTTTAAAGTAAATAGAATGTCGATTAGGTGCGATGTGCACAGGGGATAAATATCGATGATCTAGCCAAATATATAATGGCATTCGAAACACAATAGATTAGGTTGACGACATATTAATTCTATAGCCGTTTCATCTGGAACATTTATAATTGGCTTACTCCATTAAGAATTGCTTCCAAAAGTTATTTATTGTTGTGGCCACTTCAGGAACAGATTAATGTATATCTGCATCTCCCCTATTCCAGTTGAGGCCGATAAACAACTTGACAATAAATAGACGCAGTATACACATTAACAGAAATGAATATGCGCCTCATTAAAAGCATACAGGAGCCTGCGTGAAATTATTTTGCGTTGGGAAAGTATTGAGTAATAGTAATTTATAGTGTTCAAATTATAATAACATCTGAAATTTCTCTCCACTTACTTTAAAAAGTCGTCAATGTCTAATTTAGCAGCTCTTGCTTCAGCTAGATCTAATGATTCAAGTACTTGCTGTGTTTTTTGCTTTATATCTATTGAATCTTCAATCATCTGAAAGCAGTTGCAACAGGTGAACAGAGTATCATTAAAATTCTTGGAATCAAATTGTCTCCTTACCATGTCATTTGTTGCACAGAATGTTTTATAATTATTCTCAATCATCTGCAACACTGGAGTACTCTTGAAATTGGCTGATAACGTCTAATCATAAGAAGCAATTAACAAATATTATATTAACATTAAAAATAACTACAGCAACGGGTCCAATGCACTTTCAAATCACACTCACTTTGTTCTTCCTTACGAACAAAATTCGCACCAATCCATCAAATTCCTTAAAGTTCACTGGCGGAGGTGGGTTTATTGGTTCTAGTTTTATAACAGATGACTCGACTTGCGGCGGAGGTTTGAAGTTGTTTTTCGATACCTGTAATTTGTAATTTTCTTGCATCAATTGCAGTTCACGCAATTATCATAAATTCAACTTTCCATTACCTTCATTACATGTTGTACTTTGGCATATAATTGTACATTCACACTCAATCTGCAGTACAAGTTGTCGCCGGGTCTTGCGACTAATCGCATTGCAAATTCACGTTGAAATGTTAGAACAGCGCAACGAAAGAGAGGTCGATGCTCGAGAAGTTTAAATATCAATGGTGAAGAAATCTAGTAACAGTACAAGAAAAGAAATCTGGTTAAATAGTCTGCATGTTGAAGAGAAGGTACCTCGGTGATGAATGAGACAGAAAATTGACCTATGAACAAAAACTTTTGCAGTTCCTCTCAAATTAACTTGTGACGAAGAAAATAATAATGCAATATTAATCATTACGAGTTAATTTGACAAGTAATTACATAGCAAAATATTCTTTAAGCATACCTGATATGGCGTGTTACTTATGCATACGTCGAAGTAAGGTAAATCTGTTTTTATTACATCTCCTATCATTATCTCTAGACGATTCTGCTCCGGCCTTTAGGATCATTCAGTAAATGGTGTCAAAACAAAGCTTAGATTAAGGAAATCCGAATCTTTGGTGATTGTCATTATGGTACATGCCTTCCTTGAACTCTTTTTGTTAATTCAGCAGCCAATCGGGGATCCATTTCGACAGCGATGACTTTCTTTGCTTTTTCTAGAATTCTCATTGTTAAATTTCCTGTACCCGGCCCGACCTCCAACACGATGTCTGTACTATTAAGTGATGCCTGTGAAATGATGTTATCTCAGTTACACGCGTGATACTATCAAACTGTTTGAGATCAATTAGAAGAAACCGAAACGTCTCATGGTTGGGTTCACATACTTTATCTACTATTCCTTGCGCTACCAAAGGATTTTTCAAAATATGTTGTCCCAAGTCTTTGTTAAATAGAGGTCCAAACGCACGCATCCTTGTGGAGGTGATTGATTTTCCAGAGGCATTTCTTTCTTTCTTTGATTTCACTTTTGGCATGTCGGAAGAATGTGTAGCAAAAATAAATTTGTGGGATCTGGTGACTTTTCGGCTGTTTGATCCTGTGGCATGTGAATGTACTGACCCGGTTAGCCACGCAAAAATAGGCCAGAGTATTGGATAAATAAGGATAATCGAAATTGCACGGAGTCATTCGATTTTTCTTCCGAAGCCACATTGCCAAAGTTATTGACACCATTATTCAGACTATTATATTCTTTCTGCTATATTATGATTATAGTATAATACGCTACACAATATTACAAGCTAATGATTTGGCTGTTTATATAGATAATATTGTTTGTACTAATTTAATATATTTGCTCATAATTTTGATGACGGACTGCATCCAATCTTTCTGATAGACAAAAACGTTGTCTTTTGACTCACTTGCATTTGTCCTAGTGTTTGCACCGTTTTCACTTATACGTTAACGACAATCTCCTACTCTAACAAACGTTAATCGACCCTGACTTCTTAATACTTTCTACGTAGAGGCTATTTTAAGGGTTTACAAACTATAAACAATCAACCCAAAATATATATGCTTATATATAATTATATTCTATTCTGCTATACTGCATTGTATTTGTATTAAATATGTCTCGTTGCGTAAAGTGTTTTGGCGGAAACAAGGTTCTTCAACGTAAATTAGTTATATTGGGTGATGGTGCGTGTGGAAAGACTTCATTATTGAATGTGTACACTAGGGGTTATTTCCCGCAGGTATGTTTACTATTTCAAGAATGGGAAAGGCGTTGGGTGAGAGAGATAATAACAGTTTGATGGAGAAAAGGAATGATATAGCTAGTCGCAGACGAGCATTCTTGTATTCGTTTCCGAGATTATGACAATGACGTAACGGATTATCTATCTGTCGTGCTAGATATTTAAGTCTTTAATTCTTATTGTAGGTCTATGAGCCAACAGTATTCGAGAACTATGTACATGACATGTGGATTGACAACCAACAGATTGAACTATCGTTGTGGGATACTGCAGGTAAGATGGCACCAATAAGTTAACTCTATTGTAATCAACCTAAATACTGCAACAAACTAACTTTATATGCTGTTACAGGTCAAGAGGACTTTGACAGATTACGGTCATTATCTTATGCAGATACACATGTGATCATGTTATGCTTTGCAGTTGATTTAAGAAACTCGTTAGAAAACATCGAGTATAAGTGGATGGATGAGATCCTGGAACACTGCCCGGGAGTAAAGATCGTGTTGGTTGCATTGAAATGCGATTTACGAGAAGATGAAAATACCATACGAAGCTTAGCACGAATGGACGAAAGGCCTGTGGCGTATGAGGAGGTTAGCATTGGCATATTTTACTTGAGGGGAGGGGGGGGGGGGTTTCAAATTGTGCTATTATATAAATAAATATTTGACTATTACTTCGACGTTTCGAGAACCATGCTAGTTTTCAAATCTTGCTGATGAGCATTTTGTCAATTTCTCTGCAGGGTCTAGTAGTTGCAAAAAGGATCCACGCATCCAGATATCTCGAATGCTCAGCAAAACATAACAGAGGTAACGATTATTGCGACTAGGGCATCACGAATTTATGTTCGAGGTGATAATATTTCATTAATATAATTTGATGTTGTTCCAACAATCTCGTCCATTTATTTCAGGTGTAAGAGAGGCCTTTGAACAGGCAGCAAGAGTAAGCATTAGTGCAAAGCCTAGAGGATCATCGGGGGCCCAAAGGCGGAGTAGATGTGCTGTACTGTGAAATATTCGAGTTCATATGATCTATGTTCTGCAGCCTTGTTTTGACATCTACGCCGGACACGCGACAAGAAAATGCTCTATCGCACCACTCTATCGCACCATTTCACTATCCCACCATCTCACCATTGTATCTTTATATTAACTGTACTCTCTCATCTGACGTACTTCATCGTTCCATCTCGTTTGCAATGTAACTCTTGTAGAATTTTCAGATTGTATTTTATATTTTATTTTATTTTATTTTCTTGTCTTGTTAGTTTATCAAATAAGATGAAGCGATGAATACGTTCATGATACATGTTACACTGGGTACATAATAGTTTCTTCTGCTTGCTTGTTATTAACATCCATAATCGAAATTGACTCTTTGGAATCGTGAATTCGATTCAATATCCTTATAATAACTTGCAAATTAATAAATTCAATTGTTGGTGATGTCACCTTTTTCTCGCTAACACATTATGACACATATTTTGACACGAATTGTTAAAGACTTACTTTTATTTTCATGTCTTTAACTAGTTGTGCCCGTCTGTACACTGAATATGCTTATCAAATACGAAGGTATTGATTACGGCTCATATTCCGCCTACCATGTTTACACACTAGCTTCTTTGTTTGGTATTATCCTTATTACAAAGTCGAATTCGTATTACAGTCGGAAAAAATAACGGCGGTGCAATTCCACAAAGTTTGGCAGTAATTAACTTTTATGCAAGAAAAGCAAGTCTTGGTTTTGGTCAAGGGCATTGTATAATAAAAATATTTATTTAATTGTTAAAAAATAGGTTTACTTAGTAAAAAAGACGTCTGACATATGGCCTACAGTTTTTTTTACCAAGTTATAACTTGTTCACTTGCTAAATTTTTTAAAGTTTAAAATTTTATTCCAAGTATCATTGAAACAAAGCAATTAATATTATTTTTAGAACGTAACCGTGTGCTTTCAAGTAGTTTAAACCCAAAAATTTGCGACCGTTTACTCTGCAAGATGTACCCAATTTCCCTTCAAGAGTTATTTCCGCTTGGAGAGCTTTGCCATTAGTATTAGGACTAAATTTTATCCGTACGTAAACTAATACGCGACCCAATCCGCATCTGAGTAAAACCCAGGTGTTAAATTATGACGTCATGCTTATACTGTTGCGAGGAGTTATTTCGTAATACGGGAATTAGTCGGCCCCCCTTTTTCTATTATTATACATAATTCCCATAATCGAAGGACGATTACTCTATGATTCTTACACTGGTGTCATGGCTAGATTTCATTGTATACCTTTTTGTGCTATGACACAATTTTCCTAATCGGATGTAGCATACTGTGATCAATGTTCTGCTGATGCTGAAAACAATAAGGATATTATTATGTACTGACGTTACTTCCTGGACTTGGAAACTTTAACATAATCTCGAGGAAGCTCTTCAGTGCAGCAGCAATATTCTATCAATTGTCATTCGTTTGCCATCGCGGTACTTTCCTAACATGTTGAGATATGTTTTCATGAGAAACTGTTCCTCATGATGAGTTATTAATAAAAGAGTTGCGTCGTTATATAATGCTTTTTGGACGTCAACTGGTACTCATTACTCCATCATCCATTGCTATAATATTAAGTTGTGCTATCAAAAATATGTTTCGCTCTAGTTTGTAAAGAGATAAAACGTTTACGTAATTTGGTGAAGTTTTCTCCAAGAATTATTTTGGATGACCACAGCTATGACCTACTTCCAAGAAACGCATGGCATTCATGTTCGTTAGAAGAATTATGTTTACAATTTTTCATATAACTTGATATTAATTTTAATCTGCATGCACTAATTATAAATTGGTTAGCTGCCCGGTATGATTTTAATGGAGTCTGAAAAATGTAATAGTTCGAAAAGTTATCTAAAATGGACGCAAAAGACTAAATGAAATATCCATATTATTTTATAATTAAACCTCTGAAATTCGACACAATTGAAAGCACAACAACTTCCGGAATGCAATTAATGGTTTATCAAAAACGCATTGACACTCGTATCCATCGCATTGTCAATATGATTTGTTAATGTCGATTTCTTTTTTACGTGCTATGTTGATATTACTATTCGTTTCAATGGAAAATAATAAGTTTTTTCCGTCCGACCCTGGGTGAACGTCTTCATGGCTATTATTTCCCGCGGTGAACGATTAGTAACTTATTCAACTATGTTTGAATTAATGATTCCAGTAAGTGATGAGCGAAAATATGTTAGTTATGGATATGACTACATATACGGCATGATGGATTCTATACGCTTGGAGCGACGGAGCACGCGTTTATGCTTACTCACGGTGTATCATCACTGAATTAGCCATCGCCTATAGACCTCCGAGTATGGATAAACATGGCGACGGCTCATATCAATAGCAAAAAGTGCTGATATGAAACTGAGTTTAATATCAAAGCAAAATTGGCGTGTTTGAGAATTATCCTACTTTCTGAGAGAAGCGCACAATTGTCAGGCAATTTATAGTCTATGGTGAAGCTACTGTTATCCAGAGTTAACTTGGAATCTACCGTCGAGGATAATATATTGTATGATGCTACGCAGAATATGAATTATTCACCATTCGACCCGTTATGCCTTTACCACCTCTCTGAAGAATCATGTTTCGGGAATACACGTATTTGTCTAGACATTGATTAATATTGTATAATTAGAATATGAGACTAGCATGTTCACTGTATTAATTACGGAGCAAGTAATGGAGTGATAACGAGAAGAACCCTCGTATTCCGCCTACTACGTTCACACCAACCTGCTTGCAAATAAGATGCCAAGCGCCATTTGTGTCCTTAAACCACTGAGCAGTGAAATTGAACAGCACAAATGATATAAAATAAAATAAAATATAAATAAATAAATAAATAAATGTATGGTGCTATTATTTTCTTCTACCCAATGTGATCACCAAACTCAAAGAACTCAGAGCCAAAAACAGTTTCTAGAACACATTTAGTATAAAGGACGCAAATTCTCAAAAAAAACCCCCCCACCCAAATTAACGTGTATACAAATAAAGGTCTAAGCCACTTATGACGCCACACGTTCACATTTGCATAATGCCTGCCACACAAACAAGACGCCATCCTATTTTAATGATAAAACATGACGGCTGAACCGCCAGATACAGACCCGCTTGTCTCTCAATTACTTGACACTCCTCTTGAAGATATCATCTCCGCTGATGATAACCTCCAAAGACGCTCAGATCGAGTAGAAGTACTCGTTGATTTCTACATGCTTCTCTCAGATTTTATTGATTTCATATACTCAGCATCAGGGGAGCGACGCTCGTTATCCGACATAGAACACGAAACTCAAAAGCTGTGGGAAGTATATTCCAAAACCAAAGAATACATTCACAAATATGGAGTATCATTTCAAGACGAAATGTTTTATGAAGGGCTACTCATCTCAGCTACCAAGTCTATGGAGTTAGTCAAAAGACTCCGACAAGTATACGAAAAGGATCAAATGAGCAAGGATGAGAAGATGTATGAGATTGAATTAAAAGGGAGTAAAGTAGGTGTTAATTCCATATGTAGCGATGCATGGATGGTATTAGTGACAGTCCGTGGAGCGAGAAACACTCATCTAGAAGCCAATTTATTGTATAAATGGGTGATACAAGACCGAGAAGCAAAAAAAGAGTATTCTGGAGAGAAGCTGTTTGAGAAACGATACAGGCGATATTGGAATATGGAGGGATGCGAACAAGAGAGTAATACAGATGGAGATGCAGATGTAAATGACATGGACCAAAGTAAAGGCGTTAAGAGAAGATCAGGTGCAAAGAGGACAATGAAGTCTAAAAAGAGGAAAATGGGTAGAAGACGGAAGAGGCCATTAGATAGTATAGGACACAGTGAGATGGATGTTGAGGATAATAATAAGGCAAATAATAATAACCGTGATGACCCTATGGACGATGCAAATGATGAGAGTGATGATGACTATAACAGTGCCGAGAGTAATTATGATGATGAAAATGATCCCGATTACGTCTACGAAGAAGAGAGTGATGATGATGACAAGAGATAAAACCAAACAAATAAATATAATTTAGGATATTGTATATACACGATCATCAACAAGTGTGTAATCGATAAAAATTTGCAATACCAAGGAGAAAACCTCCACTATGTAAACTATCTATTGATAGTGCAAGTAATTGACATCATTAAGCAAAAATCTAGTCTAATTGACCAATGTGTGTATGTGTTGTGTTTGTGTGTATATATATTAAGCGCGATAATAATCCGGCTTTTTAATGTTGATACCGTATTCCGATAATGCTGCTGCTAATTCCTCAAGATTTAAGACTGTCTTGTTGCGCTATTATGAGTGAAATCAGAGATTTAGTAAAATTTAACGCCGGGATCAGTTTCCTGAATTAGAAAGAGAATTAACATCTACCTTGGTTATGTTCTTTTTGTTCTGTTGTCGTATTTTACAGTATTGGAAGGCATCTGTAACAATATCTGCTATGAATTTTTGAGCCGCCAGTGACATTAAACGTTTACTAAATCAAAGCATGTAAAACCATATATGAAATGAATATCGAGTTGCAATGATCAAAAGAAAATAGTGTGTTTGCTGGGGTGATTTATAGTTAATTTCATGACTTACATTCTGATATCGTCAGATGCAAAACCTGACCTCGCCAGATAATAGTCTGTTACAGAATCAGGTATCTATTAAACAGCAAATACACGCAAATTGTTAGCTTATCAACAACGAACAGCGAGCCCTTTTTTTAAGATCTTAGTATACAAATCATAACTCACAAGCGGTTCGAGATCATCCAACAATAACAAAAACTCGGCCAAGTTTCTGTCTTTTCGTATAAATTCCTCTTCTCTTCTTGTTAAGGGAGCTGGTGGTTTGGCCGTTGTCGTAGATGCGGCGGTTACAGTCTCTGGAGTCTTGGTTGACGCATTAGTAGTCAAAGAAACGTCTTCCTTGACCTTGCCCTTGGAAGTCAATGAGGAAGTGTCAGGCATATCAGCGTTTTTATCTATATCCATTATATAAGAAAGTACGTTTGATAAGTTGAGAACGACACACAGAGTAAGAAAGTCCGAGATTGTTAGGAAATTTCTATGGTATTTTCGGGAAAATTGCTAGTGTGTAGATCAATTCTCTGGATGAACTTCCAGAATTAGAGGTTCACCTTACTATTGTATATTTCAACGCCGCACTCTTTGCACTATACGTTCTTTATTCTACTGTATATGCTACAAGAGGCCGTCCGCGATGTTGTTTAAGGAATGCACAGCTTACATCGAGGAAAATAAATAGTAAACAAGTGCGTAAACAAGCAGGCGTGACGTATCATATCTTGTGTACCCGAGATTATTGTCATACCAATACTTTTTTTTTAAAAAAGAATGTGATCGGTTTCTTCCTTCTCTTTTACAAATGTCGTCGCAGTCATCATCAACGAAACAAGATGCCTTGGAGACTTTAAGAAAGAATTCGAATAAACCAAAGATTAATCAAAAGGGTACAAAGAGAAAACTCGGCAGATCAAGAGACAGCGATGTAATCACGGATGACCCTCGTTTTGCGCATGTCCATGATGACCCTCGCTTCATTCGTCCCAATAGAAGGGACATGAAAGTAAAAATAGATGAGCGTTTTAAACAGATGTTGGACGCAAAGGATTTCAGTGATACACGTACGTCAGCAGCGAACCGATGTTTTTCTAATCGCCACCGGGTAAATTAATCCCTTTAATTTAAATAAAGCTAAGGTTGACAAATATGGTCGCAACCTGCCATCCGACCACGCTGAAAAGGAACTACGACGGTTTTATACTTTGGAAGAGGAGAACGAAGACAAAAATGATTTTGCTGATGATGTGTCGGATTCTGATCTATCTGATTTCATGCAATCTACATACGATCCAGCAAGAGGCGAGGGTCTAGTATCCTCGTCTTCTGAATCTGATACAGATGATGGGCATGTAACCAATGATCGACAGTCTCAGGACGAAGCAGAGAATATTCCACGCGGAGCAGAAACACATCGATTTGCATGCGTGAACCTTGATTGGGATAATCTCAAATCAATTGATTTGATGAAAGTATTCAATGCATTCAAACCAGAAGGATCTGTTATACGATCCGTCAAGATTTTTCCATCAGAATTTGGAAAAGAGAGATTGGAGAAGGTCAGGGGGACACATAATTTGAATGATCGCGTGATGTTGTGAAGTGTTGAATAGACAAAAGAACTTATTGTAAAATTACTATACTGCAGGAACAAAGGCATGGACCACCCAAGGAAATATTTAAGAAACCAGAGAGCGATGAAGACTTATCTTCTGAGGATGCCGAGGACGATATCGATTACGGAAAAATTAACATCAAGAAAATAATAAAGGAAGGCGTTGCCGAAGATTTTGATGAAAATGCACTACGAAAATATCAATTAGAGCGATTAAAGTATGTGCGGCTGCTGTATATACTCGAAGTGTCCGAGAACATATTTTCCTTATATCTCCTCTTTTGTAATTTGGCTACAGATATTACTATGCGATAGTAGACTGTGACACGGTAGAGACAGCCCGCGCTATTTATGGGCAATGTGACGGTACAGAGTTCGAACGAAGTTCCAATTTCTTTGATTTGAGATTCATACCGGATGACACGGAGTTCAATGATGTGCCAAGGGAGGTGTGGATATGTTAACACTATAGTTTAATATATAAATATTTTGAGAATAACGTGGTATTTATGGTTCATTTTTATAGGGATGAATGTTACGAAGCTCCAGATGTATATAAACCAATTGACTTTACCACGAACGTAAGAAAGCAATTCTGCGCTTGCTCGCCTATATTCTTTGCTCACCTAATTTGTACTTGACTTGCCAGGTTCTTCAAAATTCACGGGCGAAATTAACATGGGATGCAGACGATCCTGACAGAGTTCGTCTTACTCGACATAGCTTTACAAAAAACGATATTGATAACATGGATTTTAAAATATATCTCGCATCTACCGATGAAGAGTCAGAAGAAGACAATGACGGAATTAAACAAAAATATAAGAATTTACTTGCCGAGATTGAAGAAGAGAAAGAAGTTGATGAAGATCTAGAAGTGACATTTGCGCCTGCATTAACTCAAGCCATTAGTGAGGAAGATGATGAGGTAGGGTGTTTGGAAATACGACGGAAAATAAGACATAACGTACTGTTGAAATTTACACCAGAGATACTAAATTGATCTGATATATTGTTGTCAGTTAGAAGAGACTACAATAGATAAGTATTTACGGAAACAGAAGGAGAAGAAGCAACTTAAAAAAGCTGCTAAAGAGGCGTCAAGGCAACTTCAAATTGGATCGGATGGTACGTTACGATGATTGGCAATTAGCGTTGTTAATTTGTATAATTTACTGTAATTACCAAATAGGAGTTTATATCTATTTTATATTCATATTACATTACATCGATTTATAGTTCTAGATCATTCCATGTTGCTAAGATTCATTTACAAATACATCTGCCAATTTTATTCCAGATGATGCGCTAGACAACGGTTCTCGAAAATCAAAAAAGAAACCCGTTGAAGAGCAGGAAACTGCAGAAAAACAACGTGCAGAATTAGAACTGCTCATGGACGATAGTGCAGACGGAAATAAGCATTTTGATCTCAAGGAGATTATTAAGGCTGAAAAGAAAAAAAGAAGGCGTAAGAAAAGAATCAATGAGAAGGAAGTCGATGAAGATAACTTTGAAATTAACGCTGATGATCCAAGATTTGCTGCTTTACTCGAGAGCCATCATTTTGCGATAGATCCTACAAATCCTCAGTAAGTAGCGGCGAGAATGTATACTCATCATGGTTGATATAATTTGTTAAAACAACCTATTTGTAGTTTCAAGAAGACTAAAGCTATGCAAAAGTTACTGGAAGAACGGCAGCGGCGACAGGTTCTTGCCGATAGCGAAGAGATACGAGATCAAGTAAGCGTACGAGTCGTAATAAGTAATAACGATTATTATTTATATTAGATGACTAAACATGTTTCTTCTGTGACTAGGAATCTCGGAAAACTTCTTCCAACACATTTAAAGACACTAGCTTGTCATCTTTAGTGAATTCTGTGAAACGAAAAACGGCTGTCATTGCAGAGAGAAATCATCGCGGTAAGAGAAATAAATATGGATAAACCATTCACCGGTCAAATTTCGAGAACTCGTAATGTGTTAGAGTTAAAACTTGAGTTTTTAATCGATTAAAGATTACTCCTATTCATGACAGAAAATAGTAATAATAGGTCCAATGTCTTCTTAATTGAGTGTTTATGGTGATAGTAGAGAGAGAGTATTGTAAATAAAGTCCCTGATGACATAGTAGTAGTATATATTTCGGTTGTTAATGGATAGATATTAAATCAAATAATACAAAATAGGACATCTTGTGATATTAAAAATACAAACAATATCATTCAATGGACTAATGTGGATAATGGTAATAAAAAGAATAATTTACATCCATTGCCCGCAAACATATGATACAAAAAAGTTGTAGATAGTAAGTAAAGAATGAAGTAAAAGTATACTAATTTACAAAGAAATAATTATTCAGTTATTCAGAGAAAACTGATGATCGATCAAGTCGTGATTTCATTTTCTCAACTTCACGCTCAAGTCTATAAAAATCAGCGAGGACATTAACAAGGATTGTAATAATAAATACAAATGCATAGCATGTGTGGAATAACTACCTGAGCGACCGTTCACGAGACTCGTTTGCTTCACGTGTAGCACGTCTTTGTCCAAGTTGTAATGCGCTTTCTGAATTTTGCTAACAGTAAAAGAGAATATTCAAATTTAATCCGTATTCATACATTTCCAATTGGAGAACATAACCTATCTATTAACAATAACTTACAAGCTCTTCAATATTTTGTCTCATTCTTGCCACTTTCTGCTCGTACTTTGTAATATCGTCTTCATATCGCAATTTAATTTTATCTTTTTCAGATAACTGCCATTGTAATTCCCTAATTGTCCTTTCAGTCTTACGTAACGATTTCAAAGTTTCATTTTTTTCCCTCATTTCCTGCTCGAGTTGGGCTGATAGTTCTTCTAGACGCGATTCTAGACGCTTGACTCCACGTGGTGTAGTTGAAGCTTTTGTTTCAAGGTCGAGGACACGAAGATTAAGTTCCGTAACTTGCTTTTCAAGAGCAGTCTTATTTAACAAATAAAAAAAAAGAGATCAGAAAAGGCAAACATAACATACTCATAATCTTCCCACCAAACCCTTATTCTAACCTTAACTTTCAACAAGTCTTGATTGTCTTCTTTTTCTCTAACCAGCTCTGCTTGTAATTCAACCGTTCGCAACTCAGCCTTTCTCAACTTCTCATTAATCGTAGCGACAACATCTTGTTGCTCATCCAATAGTTGTCTCAGTTCATTCCTCTCCACATCCAACACACTAATACTCCTTACTGCTGCTTGCTTATCTTGAGTCTCATTCTGATATTGATCGTCTATATCCTCCAACCTCATCTCCAAAACTCTCTTTGCTCTCTCTAATTGAATCTTTTCTGACTCGGCCTCATCCAACGCAACGCGAAGTTCACGAACTTCAGCAAGAAGATTATTCGCCTGAGATTGGAGCTCATCATGAGAAGTCATTGCATCATTATACAATTGCGCTAAATCGGCTACTTTGTTTTCCAACATTTCCTTTTCTCGTTTCCATGTCATCACCGTATGAGATTCCTCTTCGGCTTCAGTGAGAAGATTGTCCACCTTCTTTTGAAGCAGTTTGTTCTCTTCGCGAATTCTAGCTAAATTGTTACGTTCCAGCTCAACTTCATTTGCAAGCCGTTCAAGTTCTTTCTGGTATTTACGACGCGTTTGTTCAAGAGCGTATTCTTGTTCTTCGATATCGCGCTTATATCGCTCACGCTCATCAGCAAAATCATCTTGAAGGCGCTTTTGTAAAAGATCAAAATCGGCAAAAACAGCGGCATCATCATCTATCTTAGCTTCAAGTTCTGCAACCCGATCTTCTAATGTTTTAACCCGAATTTCGGCATTCTTGCGATCATTGATGGCATCTGCAAGAGAATCTTCAAGTTCTTTAATTTGAAGTCTGAGAAATTCTTCGTTCTTTTCGGCCTTCAATCTTTCTAGGTTTGCATTTTCGAGTCTTGACATAGTCCCATCAGCTCTGGACTTGTAAGATGTCAAATTCTCGTTTGCTTTGGCAGTTTTAAGTTGTTCTGCTTCATACTTTAGTTGCAGTTCTTGTAGTTCCATGGTCAATCTCTTTCTTGCAGCTCCTTCTTCTTGCTTGTGCGCCAGTTCACTTTCTAATCTTGCCTTGACTTCCGCAAGTTGCACCTGTAATGATTTCCTTTCTCTTTCCAGCCCAGATACATCTTTCTTTCTCCTCTCATCCTGTAATAACTTATTCTCTGCTTGCAATTGTTGAACCAATACTTCCAAAACTTGCCTTTTTTCAATCTCGTTTTTCAGATTGTATTCAAGCTCCCGTATATTATCGTCCTTTTCCTTGAGTTTAGCATCCATCCTAGTAACGTTAAGCATAGGCTTGCTTTTTGAATACAGTTTCCACCACGGCCATTCCTTGAGCTGCATGTAAACACGGGCATTTTTTTGAATAAGTTTTATTGCATCAAGCTTTTCAGAAAGCTTGGCATAATCGCGCCGAGCAAGGCGTCCGCGACAGTGAGCTTGGAAGCGTGTAAACAATTGAGATAGTTTCGTTTCGCGTATTTCTTCTAATTCGGCCAGCTAGTGAATCGAATATTACGTTAGCAATAATTCTTTTAAACTAAAATTCGCAATGGTATTCATAAACTTACCACTCCAGCTCTGAAGAACACTTTAGTATTACCGATCCTGTACAGTGAATTGTCTAGTCCAAATGATTTCAACAACTCCTCTGCTATCTTGTTATCATCGGCAGTGCTCTTGGACAGTAGACCAGGAGATAATACTTCGTAACGCTGTCTGAATTCTATGAATGTCAATCTATTCGGAAATCCGGCTCGGCATATTCTGATTCCTTCCAAAACACCATTGCACCTCAATTGATCCAATACCAATGGTACTTCAATCAGTCCGGCGGCTTTTTCTCCGTTCGGCACTATACATCTTACGAAACGGGGCTTGGTAGAATACAACTGCTGCATAAGGATATGTAACTGTTCTTTATGTCTTTGACCAACCGTCCTTAAAAACTGTTTCTTGGATCTGTTCTTGGCACCCGTATCTACAGCGTCTGATGATGAAGAAGAAAACAGAGTAGCGATATATGGTTCCGTTGATTGTGCTAACAGTCTGGAAACGTTTTCATTCAATGGATCTTTGTTCTTGTCAAGCCACCCAGTTGTGCAGTATTCTACTTTAGCAGCATAATGTTGGAGCACAAATCCCTCTGTAAAGCGACGACTGGAGTATTTGGGTGATTTGCTGTTCCACAAACGATTTAGTTTATCCATGAAAGTCTTGTCTGTAGCTTTTGGCATAACACATTCTTCGTCCAGACAAGAAAGAATACCAACAGGCTTTTATTAAAATATAGAATATGCTTTAGATGTGACCGATCGAAGCAAAGCAAGCAAGAATGATAAAAACTCGCAGTGCAAGCGCTATGGTGATCATCAAAAATTTGTCTAAATTCACTTACATTTGTTTTTTCAATCAGGTCGATCGTTGGTTGTAAATCCATGCCAAAATCAATAAATTTCCAGTTAATATTCTCATTTTTATATTCTTCTTGTTCAAGAACGAACATATTATGATTGAAGAACTGCTGCAGTTTCTCGTTAGTATAGTTGATGCACAGCTGCTCAAAGCTATTATCCTATTATAAATACAATTCGATTTGGTCAGTGTCATAAAAATCATTCCATGTATTCATGCATCAAAACTTACTTCAAAGATCTCAAATCCAGCAATATCAAGAACCCCAATAAACGTCTCTTTCTGAGTCGGACGATCAGTAGTCTGGTTAATGCGATCAACAATAGCACTAAAGTTTCTCTCATACAGTGCCTTAGCAAGCGCATCAATTGAGTATATGACTTGCTCTTTAGTTCGTGCCTGAGCCACCCATTCTCGGCCAGCCTTCACATGTGGTTTAAGTAAACTTTTTACAAAATCATCGACCGGCATGCCAAGAATATTACAGACCTTCTCAGCGATTGATTTGTCGGTTATGTAGGCTTGGTTATCTCGTGACCCTGTTACTTGGATGTTGCCGAGATGGAGGACTGCAGCGACAACTCGGAATAGGTCGAGCTGTTCCTGTTTAGTAAAACCAACTACATCCATGGCTCCCTAAAAAAAAGATACATTTGTATGATAAATAAATAAGAATAATAGTATATATCTTTGTTAAGTGGAGCTTATGGACTAGTTAGATTCATACCGTTAACGCGTTAAATTCAACCGCATCATCAACTCCATCAATGTCCTTTCTCGATGTCTTTGTATAACGATAATCGTCAAGTGTACCATCCAATAATAAGTAAGCTTTGATTTCGGAAGGAGCACCTTTCATCAATTGGTAAAAAATATGGTAGTTTCGCTCATGGGAAGTTTGTGAGGTTACGCGTGACTTCTCAAGCAGATAACGCTCAATGTTGGCTCCTGCGATTTGACCTCGCGAATTAAACTCGATGCGAATAAACTTGCCAAAACGCGAAGAATTATTGTTTCGTATAGTCTGAGCATTTCCAAATGCTTCCAATATTGGGTTTGCTTGAAGAATTTGCTGTTCAAGTTGTCCAAGCTGCGACGTATTGGCCTTGTCGCAAGCAATTGCTGCAAGATATTGAATGACTTTCTTTGTGTTTTCGGTCTTCCCAGCGCCAGACTCACCACTGAAATCAGAATAGATGAATTGTTGATTATAAATTGTTGTTTCGGTCATTAACATCGAATGAATGTAATCGGCAAACTTACGTGATCAATATTGACTGGTTCTCTTGTTGTATGAGCATGTCGTGATACGCTGCATCAGCGATCGCATATATGTGAGGTGGCATTTCGTTACGTCGTTTTGCTTTGTATGCTCGAACAACTTTTTCAGAGTAGATCGGAAGGTTTCGGTATGGGTTCACTGCAACGAGGAAAAGTCCCGAGTATGTCTGCGCATACGAACGACCATCCAGTAGTCATATATTAGTTTCAGGATGAGGCAAGCAAAGTGACATATGGCTAACTGCTGCACTACTTACGTAGATCAGGTTCGACTGATATCGTTGTCTGAGATTATGTATGACAGATGATTCATTTAAATACGTTAGGTTAGCCATGTCTTCGACTTTGTCAAATTTTGGCGGATTCATATTCTCGGTTTCGTTCATGCGAACAACTCGTGTCTGTAACCGACAAAAGAGAGAAGGAAAAAAATTGTAAATATTACAACTCTAATTACCAGCCTTCAATTCAGTTTGATATGTTCATATTTGCGAAAAGCAAATGCCCTGTTTTTATGTTTTGCAAATAATTAGAACACATACTCAACACATACTCAACACATACTCACCGTATCGTCATTCAAGTGGACTTCAACCGTATCCCCCATGTCCTTCGTAATGTAACCGGCGACATAACCTTCCTCTTTATCAACTACCCAAACCCACTTCTTCTCGGTAAATGCAGCCTGAGCAACAGCATCGATTATGCCAGCTCGCCTGTCTAAGCTTCGTGGCGATAATTCATCGTCAGATACTGATACTGAATCAAAAGTAGGATTTATGTGAAGTTTAGTTGCCAACATGTTTGGATTTAAGTTGACAGATTTGGTTGATTCAGTTTAATTGAATTGCTATCGTAATCGAAGTTGTTGACTGGACGAAGGGAGAGCAACTGAAGGACGGTTTACAAGTCCACCGACGGGGAGGGAAAACGAAAAGAAAGGACAAGAATATTAGACGAAACAGGAAGAGTACTTGGATGTTTAACTTTTGCAATTGACTCTGGTGATAACCCCTGAGCTCCCCCTTTTAAAACTTTAGGAGTTTTGCGAAATAAGGGGTTTGAAAGGACAAGTCACTGAAAACGAATTCAAACTTGTGAATTGTTTTTGACTGATATGGAAATACGAGGTAGGGGAGGCACCCAATTGTGACGTAATTTAGAATGTAGATCAGCACAACAAGCTTACAATCAAATCAGCAGTTTGTATTACATTTTGTGCGTAACCTTAATTAGTAGTAATAGCATTATCGGAATCCTAATTCTTGTTCCTTCTTGTAATGTGTTACATACTTTGTTTGTTAATTACGTCGTTCTTACTATTTTCGTTGTGAATTAACAGTCATCTGAAATGTCTCACGCCTTATTTGTTGATCGTTCGGTCACACACTGACTGTACTCACATGGACATTCCAACTACTTCAATTTAATCGCAAAGACTGAAGGAAATTGGCGTGCGTGTGTGTAGCGCGAATATTTTTAGCAATCAGGTTACAAGGCCCCGATACTTAACAACATTAATTATTTACATCACCGGTACTCCAGACGCTATTGCGGGGAATGATGTCCATAAGTGCCACTGAAGAATAGTTAGCAATAACCAATAAATAAATCTGCGCGCCGCACACATTTTCCCACAAAGTTCTCCAATATCAATGCGTCCAAAATGTGACTTCCGCTTTTTGTTTGATACAAATGGTCTCATCAACCCTCATCATTTCAATACAGCGTTAGTGCAACGCTTTATTTATAAACATTGTTTTATGTCTGGGAGATTTTCTGTATTAATTAAATGTAGAGTTTTATATCATGCTCGAAAGGCAACGATCAATAGACCTTTTAGCCTGATCGTTGTGCCTCGTTGAGCAAGGGTGACATTTAAAAGCTAGATTACAAGAGAAGTGTCGAAATAGGCTTTATTTTGTTTTGTTAAACCTCGTGATTAGATACGCAGTAATTGTTTCACAAATTCATTATATTGACATATTCACCATAGTTTGCCTTTACAACATTTACGAGAAAGAACAAACACATTTCACATATCTGCAATCACTACTATGTTTTAGACGCCAATGTTAATAACATTGATAATGACCAGCCTCTCAATAAAGTAAAGGGCAGTTTAATTAAAGACTGGAGAAAAATTCTCTTGCTTACACAAACTTGTAAATTCTTTATCGCACTATCAAGCAAGCTGTATAGCCAGCTCCTTATCCAGTTCACGTTTAAAGATGCATGTAGTGTTTCCAGAAAAATGTTCTATACTCGGACATACAAAAGATTTGACTCCTGCACATACAGAATATGCTCTGATGTATATATCAGAAATATATGGGGCAGACTACAATAAAACCAGACAAAGTGAACATTTCACCATGTGAACTAAAAATGGTTAGTGTGGTTGATAATAGCTTTGCTTTATTAGCATACAGTGCAAAACAAAGTGAATACAATGCTTGATGCAGCTGGACTAAGGAAACCAGCATTGATCCAAAATCAAATAGGTTCTCTTTGATTTACCTCTTTCCGTGTTGGCCAAGTAAAAGTCAATGAGTTTAAGCATTATGAATGCTGCTAACATTATTTGTTAATGAAATAGAAATGAATGTCAGCTTTTAAACACCTTACTTGGAATTCATCAGATAGCAAAATATGCATCAAACTCATCTGGACTTGTTCAAAAAAGACAACGCTTCTATTGTGTTTCTGAGTTGCATACTCCCTTTTTTCCACATCTTGGAATCAACTTCTAGTAGGTGGTATTTGCCATTGATAAATATTATATCTGACATACTGGCCACACAACAGGCTGAAGCTATCTTAGAACTATGCCACCATATTTATATTGGCCGCAGCATCGTTCTGTTATACCTTACCACAAAGCTACAGTATACAGCACGGCTCACGGCTTCCATCGACAGGAAACTACGGAGCTGAGTAAGAATAACATTAATAAAACATCTCCCTTTCGATTTGATTAACTAGACGTGAAATTTTGTCCAAAGTTACCTCTTAATGTGAGGTTTTCACAAATCTAATTTAATAAGAATTGCTTAAAAATTGGCGGAGTTTTATAGACATTTTTAGGCACACTTTTACACGATGGCAAAAATAACTACTGCTTTGTATAGTAATAGCGCAACAAAATTACTGTCAATTCGCCTGAGCCGTTTTGGTTATTTAGTAATAATCTAAAGTTAATGACCTAAATGTGATTAAATACTATGAGAGTCAAGTGCGACCTGACTCTCTGATGATTTGCGTATTCGTCGTGTATCGCAAGATTTTTCTTGTGCACACAACTACGGTAGGCAACTTCCAAGTCATTGCCCGTTTTATTTCATACCGTTTCCTTCAAAATCACTATACTTAACTCTTGACTCCCAAGTATGTAAGGCTCACCGCGAAAAATACATTGATGTCCGAATGTTTGGGAATGAAATAGAATCATCTATTGCCGATTCGGACTTACATTTGGATAAGGTTCACTAAATTACCTTTTTTGAGTTCCTATTACAATTGAGACTTGTATTGACTAAATATCATGATTAGGTAAAAACGGCTCGAACAGTAATGCATGGCACCGAGAGGTTGATCAAAACCGCCTTCAACGAAGTTGATAGTACACTGAAAACCGATGGAGGTTATGTCTCCAATAATGAACCGGTATATTTATATACAGCGTGTAACAAAAGTTTTTGGAATTTTTTATTTACTCATTTCTCAACAACCACAGCACAAAACTTAACAAAGAGGATATTAAAATAAAGCCCAAAACCTAAAGTTTTTATTGATATAAAATTAACAATTTATCCTTTCCCATTGTTTTCTATTATCATCCCACATCTCCGTCTCATTGATTTGATACAGTTAATTAGAACGCTATTTGGAATTCTATCCCATTCTTCGGCCATATACTACTCTAATTTTGAAAGATTTTTAGGCATGCGCATTTCTACATTTCTTTTAACAATTGCCCAAAGATTTTCAATTGGGTTTAAGTCTGGACTGTTGGAGGGCCAGTCCATAACTTCCGGAAAGTTTTCGCTTAAAAATGCCCGAGCAATATGACTTGTATGCTTCGGGTCATTGTCTTGCTGGAAGCGCCAATTGTTTCTAAAAAGTTTGTCGATTTCTTGCTTACGAGTTTGCAAAATATCAACGTAAAAATTCGTATTCATAATATTTCTAAAACAAAATAGAGAAGTTTTCCCGCGTATACAAAATCCTCCCCACGCAAAGATTTTAGTGCGATCTTTAGGAATCCGCTTGACTGGTCGTTCGCCCTTATACCATTGAGTTATTGTGTTTCTGAATAACTGAAAAGCAGTTTCATCAGAAAACAATGTGGTGTCCCAATTGTCATTGAGGTGTCTGGTTGCCCAACTAACACGAGCTTCTTTATGAGCAACAGTAAGCATAGGCGTCTTTAGAGGCAGACTATTTTTATAACCCAATCTTGTTAAATGTCTTAAAACTGTCATGTGGGACACCTTCGTGACATTGTTTGTCAATTTAATTGCCAAATTTCTTGTAGACAGTCTTGGATTATGGCGCAAGTATTGAGCTATTGCTCTTGATTCATGTGCGGTAACTTTCTTGGGGCGACCACTTGCTAATTTTCTTGAATTATCCCCTTTTTCATTCAGTTTTTTAAGATTATAATAGATAGTTGATATTGTGATGCCAGTCCTAGAATGTATTTCCTTTGCAGAAGTGATTCCATTCAGCCACAATTGTAATATGGTTTTTCTTTGCGTGTCTTTATTAGAAGATGTCATCGTAAAAGCAATTTCTCAATGAAAACAAAACAAGAATCATTTCAAACTTTATTTGTTTACAGTTTGGGACAATTTACTTATGTGTTTAAAATTTGACGTGTATTGGAAGAGCTATTAACATTTACATTTGAAGTACGCGAAAACTTTTGTTACACACTGTACGTTCTTTTTGTGCTGCACCTATTCACTACATCACTCACGAATGAATGCGAATTTCAAAGAATGAAAGAAAACAACCAGCCGAAGAAGCTTCTCCAATAATCACTCCTAATCTTCGCAGTCACCGAAACCAAGAGGACAGATGTGTAGTTTTTTTAACTGGAAGCTGTAAGATAATGATTGTCTGATAAAAGCAATTTTAACTCTCTAGTCCAATGATGATTTCCAGTCTGTCAGAACAACCACTCAAAAAAAGCGGGAAAAAAATCAGTCGTTACCAAAGGTTAGGATATAACAATAAAAGTTTTTTGATAAAAAATGTTATGGGCCTTTGTAAAAAGATTGGTACCTCACCCAAAGGGAAATGATTTACTTCAAGACAAATACTGTGCGACCAAAGCAAGGTGAGCCGAAAAAAATATATATATTAAAACGACTTTGAATAAACATTTTTTTCTAATATTATCTTACCCTACCATGGATATTTCCTCTACAAAACGGAGTGGTGCACCATTAACTGATAATGAAAAGTTGATGTTTACAATTATTTTTCGGGGGCTAACTCTAAAAAGGAGGATCATCAGAAGGTTACACTACGCGTAGGGGAAAGTACAGTTGGGAGGGTGGAAGAGCCGTGGGTGACGATACTTTTACACCGCATAAAACTCTCGGACGACCTAAATTACAACCTGATGAAAACCTTTCAGAAATTTTGTACGCTTAGGTCCGCATACAATCCTTTTATCTGTTAGAAATACACTACTAAATGCATTTAAAGAAAAAATTTCTTCAAAAGTTATTGTAGGACTTTGGAGAAGAGCACTTAAAAATGCTAAGGAATATTTTGAGTCTGACGAAAACATACAATTTATTGATGACGGATTTGATGCTTATAGTAGTTCCGACGATGATCACGTAATTTAAGGTAATATTTATATCACATCTTTCCCAATATTAATATATACTGATAATATTTATCAAATAAAAAAAGAAAATTACATAATAAAAATTTTTCTATCGATGCAATATCTGAGGTACCAATCTTTTTACAACGACTCATACCTTGAAATCTATGCGAACATTTTTTTAATGACTACTTTGATATCTATAGAATAAAGAATCCAAGGAATCGGTTAACTCTAAGAAGGTCAGTATTGAATGCATCCCTATGATGATAAGGATTTGTTGACAAAATTTATTTCTGTAGGATGAGATTGATGGTTTTTTTCAAAGTCTCTCTAAACCAACGGCGTCAAACCTGCAGAAAGCAGATGCTTTAGATGGACATGATTTGAAACACGTAAGTATAGCATGCATTTTTTTTGAAGAGTGAAGATCAGCAGAACAATGTATTTTAATACTTTGGGACGAAAAGATTATGCATGGTAGTTCTAAATACATGCATGATAATAATAAGTAAAGGATGGTCCGATATTACCAGGCCATTTGATGGGTCCGTATTATTTCATCGACAGTCATTTCATCGACAGTACATTTCACCGACAATTAACTACCAAAAAAGGATAACTTCGAAATAATGTTGGTGAAGATTTGTCGGTGAAATGATTGTCGGTAAAATGATTGTCGACGAAATGATTGCCTCCCCCATTGGATTATGATGATAATATAAAATAAACAGATCAATGAGTAGTTCTTCTGAGTAATAGATAATTTGCTTGCGATCTAGATGAAGAAAACTAAGTCCACAAAAAGTTGTTCTAAGGATGATAGAGCTAATAAATTTGCAGATGTTTCGGTAAGTATTTGGCACTTTGAAGCGTTAAAATCAATGCAACTAGTAATTGATATCATTTGCTGTTCCAAGATCGGAACACATACGCTGGAATGCAATGATGATGATAACTCTCAAGAGATGTCTGCATATGATTACGAAAAATATAAAAAATCCTACATTGAAATGGATGATGTCAATAAGTGGGTACTCACAACCGGAACTGTTGTGGAAGAGCTATTTACATTTGCAAATATGAACAGTAAGTTTATATTAAACAATAAGCTTATATTCTTCAAGATGCGTAAGTTTCGCTTACACTTTATTTCTGTACAAAAAAGTCTTGTTTATTCGTTTATTTGGACCCTGAAGACAATACTTACCTGAAGGAACATTTTCACCGAAAGCGAATTACATGAAATTCGCCATTTTTAAATCAAGGAAACGCCATGACTTACTGAAGTATATAAATAGCCATCTTTTTTATATATCGTATAATTTTTTTTTTTACTGACAACTGGTATGTTGTTCCAATAGAAAACTATGTGATGCTACGCTATAAACGATGAAGTATTCTCTCCTTTATTTCTGCGTTCCTCCGACGATGTCGCAGTCCAATGGAACACCAGCGCCAGCTGCGAATTTCGCGAGGTACAATCACGGTACAATCACTATTGCGAGGTACAATCACTGTTGCCAGTAGCAACAGTGACAGAAACAGTGATCTAAACGTATACTAACAAACAATCGATAGAATATTAGAATTAGCTGTTAAAAATATATCAATTCCGCTCGAAAGATATACAGTGTGTAACAAAAGTTTTTGGAATTTTTCTTTTCTAATATAAAAAGTATGATGGAATTAGATAAAAGTTTATAAATATACACTCCCCTGAAATAAGTATCGGACCCCCTTTACTTTTAATTTGTATGACAGCATACATAATAATTTGTTTCCAAATTTTTACGCGTTATAGCCTAGTATCTCGTAAATATATATAGCAAGTTACGCGTTATTTACGTTGATCGTTGATTGTTTACAAAATAAAAGGTGGACTTGTCTAAATTACAAATGCCTGATTTCGATTTCAATAACGAAATGTCTAAAAATTCAGAATTGACTGAAAGTGAACGCTG